GCAGCTAGATCGATTCTCTAGGGCGTCATTTCCAGTCTCGAAATCTCTCTTGATTCCCATTACTCAGGGCAGAGAATACCTCCTTCTAGGAACCCCCAAACTTTGCATCTCCAGATTTCATCCTTAGAACCCTGTGAAACTCGTGAGTGTGGGTGGATATAGCTACAAATTCCTACCTCATCCAGCCTTGGAGGTTTGCAACCTTGAGTTCAAATTGCTGTCTGTCCCTGAAAGAGCTGCAGGATGCTGGTCAAGACATCCAATTCCTCTGCGCCTCTTTTTCCTCATCTTTAAAATGGATATAGTAACAAAGCTGCCCAGAGGCTGTGGGGGCGAGAGATCGTATCTGCAAACAGGACAGCGGCTTGCACAGTATGCCTTTGTAGGAATTAGGAAAAGCCAGCCCCTACCGGCAGAGCAATTAGAGAATAGTTTTCTCATGCTCCAGGTGGGCACTGCCTTATGCCATGGTCTGCTTAGCAGCCCAAAGACTGGGTTCAGCTCTCATTTGCCTCTTTGGTTGGGAGCTCTTCTGCAGTACACATCCTGCACAACTGTACCTGGCAGTCCTGCGTGGAAAGCACTCAGCCTGGGCCAGGCTCAAACACTCAGATCCGGCAGCAGCTGTGATCACTGCCATCGTGTATTATCGTCTGAATGATTTGGGCTTTTAAAGACCATGAGGATCTTTAGCGTAAGGTGAACCCACATCTGAATCTCATTTTCACCTGTCCTGACCCTGCGTCTTTGAAGTGGTTCATCCAGCCCAACCTCAACTTCCTCTTCTGTAAACACAGAAAACAATCATGCCCACCTACTGGGGCAGTTTCGATTCAGTAATAGGCATCTAACGCCCCAGCAGTTCAGTGCCAATTGCATGCTAGGTGCTCACGATCTGTTTGTTTCACAGAAAAGAAAAAGAGGCCTCCCCGCCATCGCCTTTTCCCTTAGTGGAAGAATCCATGGTCTATGTGTTAGGGAAATGAAAAACATATATCAAGCCATTTCAGGGAAGACGCCTGGCATTCTGACACAGCCTGTTTGCAGGTGATAGCACCAAGTTTGGAATTGGAAAGCTGGGGGCCTGGTCCCTGAGTCCCCTCCAGCCCCTAACTCACTTTGTGACTTTGGATAAGTCTCACAGACTCTCTGAGACTGGGCTACCCTTTCTGTGAAACCAAGAGTACAGGGGATGAGGGTTGTCGCATATTTTTTGTGCAGCAGCAAAGCCTTTAATTCCAAACAAGCTTCCTGCATAACCACAATCTACAAAGCAGGTAAGAACAGAGATGTTCTGATTGAAGCAAGGTTCGGGGATGGGTTGCAGCCCCCTCCCTCTTCCTCCTCACCCTGCAGCACTCTCTGATGCTGTTTTGAGGGACACTGGGGCTCTGGGAACACAATGTGACAACCATTGGACTCAGATCCTCTCCTCCTTAAATATTCCGAGACTCTGTGCTTTTACATCTACTGCCTTCCCACTCAATTCCTCCTGACCTGGTGTGTGTGTGGGTGTGTGTGGGTGTGTGTGTGTGTGCGCGTGCCACAAACAAATGCTCAGAAAGGAAGCAAAAAGAAGTTCTACCAGCCATTAAGGAGAAATTACAAACGCATTTTTCTCTGCCTCTGGCACATTAATAAAAGAGATTACAAAACTGGAAGTGAGTTGAAACAGGGCAGCATCACAGCCATCGGGGAGGCGTGAGGAGCTGCTTCCTGTACAGTCATCTGATTTCATGGCCGTTCCCATGCTGAGAGAATCTGTCTGCTGCGGCTGCTGGGAGGATGCGGAGCTCATGCATTAAACATCAGGGGGACCCTCGCAACACACACCGTGGGGCGGGAGGAGGATGGGAAGGAGGAAGTTCTGTGCGTCAGGACAGGCTAAGGGGACACTTCTGACATGCCCCAGTGCACCAATATCATGGGCTGAGATCTAGGGATTGTTTAATAAGGGCTTAGGGAAAATCACTGAAAACTGCAGGGTGGGGGATGAAAGAGAGTGTAATAGGCAGAAAGTACAAAGATATTCTAGAGGTTTGAACGTGGAAGAGCCACCTAGGGCGGGGTGGGAGGTGGTCCACACAGGGTCACTTTGTCTAGATGGTGATAGAGCATGGTGACCATGTGCTATAAGCTCTCTGGGCTGGATGCTGGGATCGGCCATTGGACTGAGTTGAATTATTGACCCCAATTCTTCACTCTCCCTTTATCCATGCCTTTTGCCATGTGACTTCGCAGCCTCTCCTCTTGCAGGGTGGGTCCTTGCACTTTGCGCTTGATCACGTGGTTTGTTTTGGCCAATGGAATGTAAGCAGAAGGGCCAGTGTGCTAGCTCCGGGGTGAGACCTTAAGACACCCGGCGCTTTCCACATTTTCTCTTGCATCTCTGTCCCTGCCCTGAAAGAAGCACGTTCTGGCTAACTTGCTCATACACAGAGGCTGACGGACATGCAGAGTCAAACTAGGCACCACCTGCAGCTCAGGGCTGCCCCAGCTCCTTGCAGAATAAAGCTAGACGAGAAATAATGCTTATTGTTGTAGGCAATGGAGATTTAGTGGCTGTTTGTTATACAGCAACAGCTGACTGATACAGTTATATGTGAAGTCATTCATTTTATTCACATATTTGTTCATTCAGCAAATATTTCCGGAGCACTTCCATTCCCGACATTTTGCCAGGCAGTAGGGATGTAATGGTTAGTAAGAAATCTAGGAAAATGGGCAGGGATTTCAGATTTATTAATTCAAGGATTGAACATACAGTATGTGCCAGGCATGGTAATAAGTACTGCAATGACAGTGGCAAACAAAATATATAAGGCCTCTGCACTCATGGGGCTTACAGACAGCAGATCAGACAAACAGCAAGCCAGGAAATTTCCAAAAAGCTTGATGAATAAATTTGTCTCTTCCTTTAAATCAGTCACTGTCCATTGAAAAAGACAGAAAAGTCAGTAGACTATTACAATGTAACTATTAAGCATGAGAATGAGATGCCTATAGGCAGCTGGGGTAAAATACCTTATCCAACCTGGGGTGGGAGACAGGAAAAAGACAAGAGAGGGAAGCCTTTTCAGGGCACAAAATATCTGAGCTGAGCGCTGAAGGTCAAACAGTTTGCAGGGGAAGAGAAGAAAGGCAGGGATGGGCTGTGAAGCAGAAGGTATAGTAACCAGAGTCTGGAAGCAGGAAATAGTACGGTGCCTGAGGGTAAAACGTGCTTCCATACATGATTGGAAAACAGAGTGGAAGAGGGAGAAGCAGATGAGCAGGCAGGTCATGAAGGAGTTCGAATGCCAAGCTGAGATGGTCAGACTTGACTGAAAGCAGAGAAGTCGTGAGCTATGGAAAGTTTCAGTGGGAGAGCACAGAATCAGGCTGCCACTTGGGAATTTTAGAATGGTGGATTGGCTGGGTTGAGACCAGAGGCAAGGAGCCCGGGAGGAAGCTGATACAGTTATATGTGAAGTCAGGTGAGGAGGATAGCATCCACACTCGGGCAATGTGGGGAGTTGCGGCATCAGAGAATTTTACAGGTGAAAGTATCCTGGGAAATTTAAGTTGCCTCAACTCCTTTTCACAAAAGCCGGGCGTTAGAGAAGGTGGGTGACACCCCCCTTCCCAGTCTTACAGCAGGTGAGTTCAGGATTCGGGGCTGAAATCAAGATCTTTATATTCTTAAACCTTCTGCTCACTTCACAACCTGGCTGTGTTTCCTAATCCACACAACTTGACAGATAAGAATAATAATAATTACCGTAATGTCTAATAAGTGAGTCTTTTCTGCGTGCTGGGCTCTGTGCTGAGCACATTAAGCGTGGAATCTCATTGAATCCTCTCAACATTCTGAAAGGTGAGAACTCCCCATTTTACAGATGAGAAACCTGAGGTTCAAGAGGTGAAGCAATTTGAAGTTGAGACTCAGGATCCCCATGGGGATCGTAGTAGCAGCTCTGGTGTAGAACTGCAGTAAAGGCTAAGTGAAGTCAGGCATACATGTGCCTAGCACAGTGCCTGGCACATAGAAAGGTCTTAGCAAGTGACAGTGACAATAGTGATGATGGTGACAATGACCAAAGACGATAATGGTGGAAAGAGGCTGATCCATACCCAGGCCTTGACTCCACTGTGTGACTTTTGGCAAACCACCTAACTCTTTTGGCCTCAGTTTCCACCGTCTGTCAAATGGAAACAGAACTCTAGGGCCACGGTTCTCAACGTCGGTTGCCTGGGGCAGCAGCATTAGCCATCACCCCGGAGCTTGCTGGAGATGCAAATTCTCCAGCCCTCCCTGAATTGACTAAATTCTGAGACCCTGGGGGGGGGCCGTCATCTGTGTTTCATGAGCCCTTCCGGTAAGTCTGATGCATGTTTGAGTTTGAGAACCTCTGGTCTAGATTGCTAATTTTGCATTTTTTGAAATGACATCAATACTACCTTCTAGCAAATTCATGAGAAGGCGGGCGTGGGAAGCAGATCAGAGCTGCAGTGTTAGGGGTGAGGCAGCCACCAGGACCCATGGTTCTGTTGACTGTCCCCATCCTTGTCCCCCCCATTTGGAGGCTCCACAGGGCCGGGTTGAGGGCCAAGGTGACGCTGTAGCCTCTCTGCCCAGCATTAATGCCTCTTGCTAACCAGAGCCCCTGCTCCACCCCGGCCTCCCTCCCTCCCACTCAGCCTCCCTTCCTGTTTACACATTCCATAAAGTATGCATTTGTTGTGGCCTCGTGAAACCTGGTCTATTTCTTCTTTCCGTCCTTATTTTTTTTTAAAAAAAAGAGGCTTGAGACTGTAATTCGCTTAATTATTTCCCAGAGCCCCGGTTTGGTGGCCACAGCACAGCACGAGGCAGAGGAACGGAGACAGGTCCTCGGAAGCCTCTTTCCAGAAAATCTAATTTCATCATTGAGAAATCTTCTGTCTTAAACAGCCTCTGCCACCGCCATAAATTTACATATTCTATATGCCGCCGGAACGGAGTGGGCCCTATTTGCATAATGCTGCTGGAGGGGCTCACGCTCCTCTTGAACCTGAATGTAGCAGGAGCCGGGAAGCAATTATTAAGCTGTAGACGTTGGCAGGGAGAGAGGCCTCAGATGGATTTCGACTCCAAACCTCATTCGCCCAGGCTGCTCATTACCGAAGGCCTGGGTCCCAGGCTGAAGGTGGGATCCCAGGGCTGGGAAAAATCAGTGTGAATTGCTTTCTCCAGGTTACGTCTGCAGCCAGGGCAAGGCCCGAGGCGGGTGAGCACCTTTGGTTTTCCAACATTGATCATTGGAACAATCGCCTCGCTGCTCACATGGGCGTAATTTGTGTCTTGGACAGTGTCGTCACTTTGCCTGTGCCACACATTCCTGCTCCTTTCCCTCACACACCTCCAAGAACCTACAAGGCAGGTCAGCCAGGGTTTGCTCACCTTCTTGCCAGCAGTCTAATGCAAGCCTCTCAGAAATGCGTAATTAACAGAAAGTGGTGTTTAACAAAGTCTTAGCTGGAAAAATGGCAAAGGGAAACAGGAATTCTCTCATGCCTCAGTGCTTGAAATCTACCCTTCACCATCCATAGTCATGCTGGCTAGGAAGTTGGGAGTCTTTCCCTCTGGGGGATCTCTGATGGGACAATCCAGTATTTGGCGGGTGGAGGGGAGGGGTCTAAGATCTGGGGTCATTTGGTGTTCCAGGATCCGTAGGTCACTCTACAGTTTCTGGCCCATCCAGAGCTGTGGGCTTAGCCTCCAAGTCACTTTATGTCCTGCCATGCCAAACCTCCGTAGCCCACGGGTGTAAATGGCCACCTCTGGCTCTCTAGGCACCATCCTGGTTTTTACTCTGTAGGGCGCCATCTTGGTTTTTACTCCACCTTGGATGTAAATGGCCTCCTACATGCCTGATGCTGTTCAAAGAACAGGTCTTGAGCCTAGGGCAATCTTTTGGCAGAACTTTGAGCCCCGCCCTCCCTGATAGATTTCTTAACCAGGTGAATGCATGAACCACTCAGCTAGAAATCTACCTGTCCACTTCCACAGGTAAACACCTTGGGCATATTTGCTAAGTGACAGCAGTAAATGTGCTAGGCTTATATACTTAGTGACTGAATGAAACATTGTCAGGCAAACCATGATCAGCTGGTGGAGGAAAGATCACCAGTGCTTTACCTCTTATACTTAATAATGGATCATGTAATTTTAATTTTTTCAAAAAACAACACCAGCTTTATTTCTGAGGAAGTGGAAATGCATTTGAAAACACCAGTTTCACATTTGGCTGACTTGATGCTCAGGATTGGTGGAGTTCACCAGCCCAGAGATGACTCATGGCACTAAAAGCTCACTCCTTTCCAGCATTTAAAAAGTAAGCCAGTTGTTGGAAATTTAAAACAGCAGGTCCTTTGCTGAAAAAAAAAATGCATATCTCCACTAAGAAATACCATCTCCTCAAAAGACCTCAATATTTTGTCCTCAGCAAGAACTGTCTCATTACAAGAATTTGGAGGGAAGTCACTTTTTCCATAAGACTGCATCCAACATTGAATTATTTCTCCAAGAAAAGGAGATTGTTCCTGATGAGCCAAACTCAGGACTCTAAAAACACAAAGTGGTGACTTTTCCAAAGGAAGCTATTTTGCTGCATAACTGGAACCTGTGCGTAACAGCCACAGATGGTCTTTGAAGTTAGATTTCAAGATTGAGGTGTGAGTCTGTGCTCAAGCAAGACCTTGACATCTCAAAGCCTCAGTTTCCTGATCCTTAAAGTGAAGATTATGATAATACCACTTTCATTGTTGTCACTGGAGGGATTAGATGAGATGGTATACAGCAGCTGAATTTCAGGAAGGTTAAAGAATGTGCCCAAAGCCAGAGGGAGTAATGACACAGGCATAATTTGAACTCAGGTGTGAGTTTGCTCAGTCGCCATGTCCATGGTGCTTGCTACCCTGATGACCGGTGCTTAACGGAAATCCAGAATCATAGCAGTTGGCTCTCTAGGCTGAATGGCTCAAAGGTCTTCAAAGGGAGATACTCAAAGAAGCATGGGGTTCACTAAACTGGTAAGTTTGCTTAGGAACCGAAGTGAGTGGCTATTTCCAAACAGAACTAGCAAAGACTCTGTCTTTCATTTTATCTGGAAGGCCCCCCTTTGCTTGCCACGCAAGGTGGGTTGTTATGGTAAAGGCAATGGCAGGTGAAGCGACAGGCTACGTTCGTATACAAAAGAGGAGTTTACTTATAAAACCTCTCATCAAAGTTGACTCCTTTGAGTTAACGGGTTGCCTATGCCTTGATTCCAGGTTGTACTAAGGATCGGCCATGTTTGAAGAGCTGGTGGCTGCCCTCCAAGCACGCCTCTGATGAAGTTGCAACCTCTGAGGGCAGTTCCCGGTGACAGTAACAAGCAGTGCAAGGTACCAATCAGCAGGACAGCACAAAGTAAAGAAAACAACTGCACCGCATGAGAACACATGCGCTCACCTAATTAAGAACTGATGGTGTTACAATTGTTTGTTTGACAGTATCTCTTAAAGCTGAACAGGTGCCGACACCATAACCCAGAGATCCCACATTAGGGACACGCCCAACAGAAATGACTGCATATGTGCACTGACAGACAGGTGTGAGAATTTTCTGGGTACACTCCTCTAATACCTGAAACTGAGAACTACCCAAAGGTCCATCAGCAGTTCAGTGGATACATTGCGTCATATTCCCAGAAAGGTGTACCATATGACAGGCTTGGCGAATCCAGCTGGTGGCCAAATCCAGCCCCCTCCTGTTTTGTAAATAAAGTTTTATTAGACACAGCCGCGTTCATTCATTTCTTTATTGTTGATGGCAGCTTTTGTACTGCAACAGCGGAATTGAACAGTCACAACAGACAGAATATTGTAACCCACAGAGCCTAAAACATTTACTATCCCGATCTTTCCAGAACAAATTTACCAACTCCTGCTGTGCAAGAATGGAAATGAGCAGTCCATAACTTCTCTGAGAAATGTGGGTGATTTTCACAAACATAATATTGAGTGAAAGGAGACAACACACACAGTACCTGTTGTGTAATTGCATTTACATACAGTGTAAAGGCAGGCAGAACTAGTCTATGCTGCTAGAGCACAGAATAACGGCTATCCATGAAGAACAGTAGCTGAACTGGGTGCTGGGAACATTCTGATTCTTAATCTGGGTGCTGATTACGTGGGAGTTCGTTTTGTGAGAATTCATCAAGACGTACACAGTGATGTCTACACTTTCCCACATGCACGTTGTTCGTCGATAAAGATTTAAAAATAAATAAAAAAAAGAAACGGTGGGTGTAGATAGTGATGCCAAGTATTTTATCAATGTATTTCCTGGACAGAAAGCTCAAATAACAGATTGTCAAGTTAGAAAACAGATAACTTTAACTTTTACACATGAGCACACATTTATTCATTCACTCTACAAATGTTTATTGATTACTCACCACGCGCCAGGTGCTAGGGAATCGGCAGTGAATGAAATGGAACACAGCTCCTGCCTGCTTGGTACTTACACTCACCCTCACACACGCCTGGGAAGCCTTGCACGGGTGTGCACCCGCCCTCACCAGCATGGACCTGGAAACACGTGAGCCCAGGATCCGCATTTGCAGGTGGAGCTCCTTCGTATGCAAGCGTTTTTCAGAATTTTGCTTTTCCTCCTCCACTGTAATCACAGCCTCCCTCGTCCCACGGGCATAGGAACTGATGGAGGGGCTCAGTTTACTCCACATCACCCAAAGGAAACTTTGTCTTCAGAGTGCTATGGGCCTCTACAAGCCAGGAGTCCACAGTTTAGACCCCAAAGGGTCATGGGTCAAACCAGCTTTCCCAGGTCACATTGGTGTCTGAGATACATGGAGGTCAGACAAAAGGACACCCAGGGCTAAGTGAGGAGGTGACCTTGAACTCTAGGATGCCCTTGAATCCTCCTTGGGTTTTCTGCCGGGCTTCCTGCACTCAGTGTGGTTACCTGCCACCTATGCACGTGCTCACTAGAGCCTTGTGACCCACTGGCCAGGGTTTTCCCACATGTGAATGAAGGAAGCATGTTGAGGCTGCATATTTGTACCACATCTTCTTGAAAAAAATGCCAGAATGATAGAGCTGGGGATCCATGAGTCCAAGTCCTGCATGTTATGAATAAGGAGATGGAGGTTTCACTGCGGGGAGGTGCTTGCCCAAGTTTTCATGCTCAGCCCAGGCCATGCCCACAGGACTCCAACCAGGAGCCTGTCTGTCGCTTATTCTAGGTGAATCCTTCGTTGCTGAGGTGCTCACACTGAAAGGGGATGGCTGGTCCTTCTCTACTGACCTCATCACTTAGATCAAATCTACCTCCCTACCCTGGAAGATGTGGCTGCATCACCCGGTCCCTGCTTACCTCTCTGACCTTACCTCCTGCCACTCTACTCTTCTCCAGCCTCCTTTTTGTTCCTCCGACATACCATGCTCATTCCCACCCCAGGGCCTTTGCACATGATGTTTCCTCTCCCTGGAGAATCCTTCACTCTGGATCATGAGGTTGACTCCTTTGATTCATTGGTGTCTTAGCACACACGTCACCATCTCTCAGAAAGGCTCTTCCCAATCACCTAATCTCAGCAAGACACCGTCCCCTCACTCTCCATCCCCTGATCTTATGTGACTTTCTTCACAGCACTTGTCACCATCTGAAATCAACTCCTTCATTTATTTGTCTATTCTGTGAGTGCTGTCAGGGCAAGGACTGCCTTCCTGTTCATTGCTCCATCCCAGTACCTCCAAGAATCTTGGCACGTAGTTAGCATTTAGGATACATTGAATGAACAAATGGATGAAGTCGTGAAAAAAGCATCGTACTAGACTAGCTCACAAGGCAGCTACATCTCAAAGGGATGCAAGCTGTCCTGGCCACCCTGATTAAGACATCTCCAGTATCAAGAATAGTTCCTGGATTATTTGCCTAAGAAGCATATTGACCCAGGGCCAGGGGGACACTTAGCAGCAATTTGCATTTACTCCTTTGATCAATAGGCATATCAATGCTCACCCCAACACAATCTATTGTGGATGGCTATGAGTTATGATGCCTTTCTTTTCTTGCGTCTCCTTGATGCTCATGAGTTCTGTCTTTGTTCATCTTCTACTACAGGGAGTTCCCAGGCCTGTGGTGGATGTTGCCAAGGAGTCTCTGAGTGTTGTTGATTTTCCCTGCCCAATGTTTGAACCACAGTTCTAGGCTCTGCCTCTCTCCCTGCCATGTGCACCTGTGAAGAGGCTGAGTTGGGGACATACTGGAGTAGAGGGCACCTTAGTTCTAACCTCCCTCTTTTTTCTTTCTTTTCTTTTTTTTTTGCAGACACAGCCTCACTCTCTCACCAGGCTCAAGTGCAATGGCTCCATCTCAGCTCACCGCAACCTCCACCTCCCAGGTTCAAGCGATTCTGCTGCCTCAGCCTATCAAGTAGCTGGGACTACAGCTGTGCGCCACCACGCCCAGCTAATTTTTGTATTTTTAGTAGAGACAGGGTTTCATCGTGTTGGCCAGGCTGGTCTTGATCTCTTGACCTCATGATTCGCCCGCCTCGGCCTCCCAAAGTGCTGGGATTACAGATGTGAGCCACCACGCCCGGCCACAACTCTGTCCTTCACTTACTGTGTGCCCTTGGCCCCATCACTTTCCCTCCTGGGGGCTTGATTCTACTCACCTTCAAAATGATAAGGCTCTTAGAGACCCCTTCAGGTTCTGAAACTTTAGAATTCTTCATGAGCAGTCTTCACATTTTCAATACCGAGTCCTACCATCTGCTTTGGAAATGTGGTCCATTCCTATAATCTATGAATTGCGTCCATTCACTCAACAACAACCCATACGTTCAGATACCCACCTAACATGTACTTCTGGGGAATCTTCAAATGTTCCCATGTGATGGCATGAAGCACCTGTGATATACTTAGCCACACTTACAGTTAAATAAAAGGCACTCAATCTTCCCTCCTCTGGTCATTTAATTTAAGCCTCCCAAGGACTTTGGGAATAAAACTGTAACCTACCTATTACAAAGATGAGGAAACTAAGGCCTATCATGGTCAGGGACTTGGCCAAGGCCACATAGCTATGGAGTGGCTAAGCCAGGATTTGAACTCAGAGACACCTGGCCTAAACTTTGTCATCTAATCATTCCAACTTGGGATCCCAGCCCTAAAATACCACCCACTCTCCCCGTCTCTAAGAGAGATCTCTGGAGGTTCATTTAGCCATATTCCAGTGTTTCTCATCAAAGAGAGAACTGTTTTAAAGACAGACACTGACTGTTATAACACTGAGCCAAAGCATCCATGGCTTACGGCCTGGGAGAGTTCACAAACTGGGTCTAATTAGTTGCCACCAATTAACATCGAATTACCCTTCAACTTGGTACCACAATCATCTCAAAATCAAAAAGACAGATGACCCAGATCGCACTTAAAGAAAGAGGCTACGCATCAAATGCCATTTACTATGCTAAGCAGATTCCTTTCTCCTACAGTGTGCTGATTTTGAGACACGGAAATACATTCAAATTAACCCCTGAGCTATTCCTCTTCCAAATTCTCCACTTAGGGTTGACTCCATGGCGCGTGATATTACTAATTCAGAGCTCCGGGAAGGCATGCTGATTGCCTGAAACGTGGGTAAGGACTCTGCTAACGCACAGTTTCATACCGGGTGGAAATCAAAGCTCAGGGCACATGCTCCAGCTCCCAGAGCAACACGGAAGAGCTTCTTTTCCCCCACCCCAGGACCTGGCTCCAACCAAATCCATTCTTGAACCCGTTAAACAAATATTTATGTCTAGGCATGGTGGCTTGCACCTGTAAGTAACCCCAGCCCTTTGGGAGGCTGAGGTGGGAGAATAACTTGAAGCAAGGAGTTTGAGACCAACCTGGGCAACATAGTGAGATTCCATCTCTACAAACATTTTAGAAATTAACCAGGCATGATGGTGCATGCCTGCGGTCCCAGCTACTCAGGAAACTGAGGTAGGAGGATTGCTTGAGCCCAGGAGTTAGATGCTGCAGTGAGCTGTAATTGTGCCACTGCACTCCAGCCTGGGTGACAGAGTGAGAGCCTGTCTCTTAAAATATACATACATAATATTTATTTGTATATATATACATGTGTATATATACACATATATCACCCACTATGTGCAGGACACTGTCCTTGGTACTGAATATGTGAGCTAGGGCAGAGAATAAAAGATAAAGGTTCTGCCTTTAAGGTACTTACATTGTATACTTACCTGGCAGGGGAGATACCGTGATCACGAAGTTGGTTTTCCCAGGACAAGGCTTATCCATTGCACTCTAGATGTGCTGACCCCTGCGATTTTCCCAAATGTGG